ACAGATACAGAGGAAAGAGGCCCTGGGACAGAACTGTGAGGAACTCAAGCATTTAGAGGAGGGCCAGAGGAAGGTAAAAATGCATGGGAAGCTAGGAATGGCCAGAGGGGGCAAACCAGAGTAGTAATGTGGAAGCCAGTGAAAGAAAATGTCTCAAGATGCAGTGGCAAACTATGTTGGATGGCTCTGGAGGGGCCAAACAGGACAAAGATGAGATGTGTCCATTGGACGTGGAGGCAGGGAAATTATTGGTGACCTTGAAGGTGGAAGCTGCATGGAGATAACTCTTTAAAGAAGGTTGGCTGTGAAGAGGAGGTGGTTGGAGGCGGGTATGTTGTGAGGTTTGAGCAATGTAAAACGCTGTGAGAAAGAGGTAGGATGCAGAGTTGAAAAAAATGAGAGGAGATAATCAAGAGGACATCCCTGAGGGAGAAGGAAAGGAAGCTTTTATATCAGTGGTTCGTACTCAGAAATCTGTAAATGAGGGAGGAGGACAGTGCAGGCTGAGGTGAGTCAGTACAAAACCCTACTGTGGGCCGGGCGCGGTGGCTTAAGCCTGTAATCCCAGCACTTTGGGAGGCCGAGGCGGGTGGATCACGAGGTCGAGAGATCGAGACCATTCTGGTCAACGTGGTGAAACCCCGTCTCTACTAAAAATACAAAAAATTAGCTGGGCATGGTGGCGCGTGCCTGTAATCCCAGCTACTCAGGAGGCTGAGGCAGGAGAATTGCCTGAACCCAGGAGGCGGAGGTTGCGGTGAGCCGAGATCGTGCCATTGCACTCCAGCCTGGGCAACAAGAGCAACACTCTGTCTCAAAAAAAAAAAAAACAAAAAAAAAAACAAAAAACAAAAACAAACAAAAAAAAAACCCTACTGTGGGGCCGGGCACCGTGACTCACACCTGTAATCCCAGCCCTTTGGGAGGCCAAGGTGGTGGATCACTTGAGCTCAGGAGTTTGAGACCAGTCTGGCCAACATGGTGAAACCCTGTCTCTATTAAAAACACAAAAGTTAGCCGGGCATGGTTTCACATGCCTATAATCCTAGTTACTCGGGAGGCTGAGGCATGAGAATTGCTTGAACCTGGGAGGTGGAGTTGCAGTGAGCCAAGATTGCACCACTGTACAGCCTAGGTGACAGAGTAAGACTCCATCTCAAACAACAACAACGAATAATCCTACTATGGGCCAGCACCCAATGATCTTGTAAGGGAAGTTTACATTTTCCCCCATTGCCATGCACTTCACAGTGTCCTCTGTGGGAAGAATATACGTCCTTATCCCACTGCTCTAGGGCTTGGCCACCTGGTCTTGGTCAAGTGGGTATGAGCAGATATGCCATATGCCAGGTCTGAGCAGCAGTTTTAAGAGTGGAGGTGTGGTTTTCTCTGCCTTTTGTTCTTTTCCCCTGCCATTAAAACAATGTGTCCCAAATTAGGGCAGTTACTTCAAACTGGGTCTTGGAATAAAGACACATGAAGCAGAGCTGTAGCCAACACCACTACCAATGTAAGCCATGAAAGAGAGATAAACCTCTGTTGTTATAAGTCAGTCGGATTCTGAAGCCATTTGTTAATATAGCAAAATGGACTAATACAGGCATTCAACTAAATTAAAACCCTGAGATACCATTTTTTAGTCCCCAGTTTCAAAAGTTCGATAGCATATTCTTGCTGAGACTGAGGCTGAGAATGCAAGGACTTCCATACATTGGTATAAGCTTTATGGATGTAGGCAATCCCTATGAAAATTAAAAACGCAGATATCTATGATAACAAAGACAATAGTAAGTGTTGACAAGGATGTGGAGAAACTGGAACACTTATACACTGCTGGTGGGAATGTAAAATGGTGCAGTCACTTTGGAAAACAGTCTGGCAGTTCCTCAAAGGGTTTAACAACGTTACTCTGTTACTCGGCAATTCCACACGACTAAGTATACACCCAAGAGAATTGAAAATGTATTCACATAAAAACTTGTACACAGATGTTCATAGCAGCATTATGCATAATAGCCAAAAAGTGGAAATAACTCAAATGTCCATCAACTGATAAATGGATAGATAAAATGTGGTATATCCATACAATGAGATATTATTTGGCCATACAAAGAAATACTGGTACGTGCCACAACTTGGATGAACCTTAAAGGCATTATGCTAAGCAAAAAAAGCCAGTCACAAAAAAACCACATGTTATATGACCCCTTTTATATGAAATGGCCAGACTAGACAAATCTATAGAAAAACAAAGTAGATTAGTAGTTGCTGGGGGTCAGGGAAGGGGAGAATGGGAAATGACTGCTACTGAGTTTTTTTTGTTTTTTTTTTTTGGGTGATGAAAATGTTCTGGAGTGAGATAGTGATGATGGTTGCAACAACTTTGTGGATTTATGGAAAACCACTTAATTGTACACTTTATTTTTTTAAATATTTATTTTTTGAGACAGAGTCTTGCTCTGTTGCAAGAGCACGACTCTGATCTCTGATTTTTTTAGATCAGAGTCATGCTCTGATCTTGGCACGATCTCAGCTCACTGCAGCCTCCGCCACCTGGGTTCAAGTGATTCTCCTGCGGATTACAGGCATGCACCACAACGCCTGGCTAATGTATGTGTTTTTAATAGAGACAGTTTCACCAAGTTGCCCAGGTTGGTCTCAAACTCCTGACCTCAAGTGATTCACCTGCCTCAGCGTCTCAAAGTGTTAGGATTATAGGCATGAACCACCGTGCCTGGCAACTTAATTGTACACTTTAAAGGGGTATGTCTTGTGGTATGTAAATTATATTTCAATAAAACTATATTTTTTAAAAAGCGAGGAAATTTAAAATGTACTGATATGAAAAGATCGTCCCTATATTGTTAACTAAGTGCAGTAATTAGAGTAATTATGTATTATCTTTTATGTGTTTATTAAAAACGAAGACACAAACACACACATTAGCCTAGGCCTACACGGGGTCAAGGTCATCAGTATCACTGTCTTCCACCTCCACACCCTCGGGGGCAATAACAGGAATGGAGCCTGGAGCCGTGGTCTCCTAAGATAACAATGCCTTCTGAAGGACCTGCCTCAGGTTTCGTAGTTACCTTTTAAAAAAATAATGATAAGTATAGTTAATAGATAAGCCAGTAACATAGTTGTTTATAATTCTTATCAAGTATTACATACTGTATGTAATTGTGTGTGTCAGACTTTTATATGCCTGGCAGCACAGCAGGTTTGTTTCCACCAGCATCAGCACAAACCAGTGAGTCAGGCATTGCCCTATGGTGTTGTGACAGCTGCGACGTCGCGAGGAGAGTTTCCAGCTTCATTATAGTCTGTATGGGATCACTGTCGAAAATGATCCATCATTGACTGAAATGTCGTTATGTGGTGCATGACTGCGGTGTGAAGTCTAGTAGCTGTTGGTGGTCGATTATATTAGACCAGCCCATTTTGAGGATGGGTGCTCCCTTTCCAGATTTTCTTGATCTTCTTGCCCTGTCATTTGGGGGGTCCCAAAGGCCTCGGTGTTTGCTCCCTCCTCCCATCCATCTCTCTGAATGTTCTCTCCTTTGAGGAATGGAGCCCATCACAAGGCTTCAGCTATACCCTGACTCTCAAACCTGCTTTCCATTCTAGCATCTCATCAGAGCTGTGGGTCTGACCCCCTCCCATAGGAGTGTCTGTAGTTCCAGAAGACTTCCACTCGGATGAGTCTTTCCAAGCAATAATCACTTTATGTCTGTCCAGTTTCCCCTTTCTGCATCCCTGTTTCTTTGAGGGATGCCATCATTTTTCCAGTCTCTCAGGCTTGAAATCCCAGGGTCATCTTTGAGTCTTCCTTCTCCTGCAGCTTAGTTCCCCTAAATGTTGAATTCAGCATAATACAGGGAATGAGCATGCCTGCGGGTTCTTCTGTCTTTTTCTACCAACATCTGTCTTATTCAAGTGTGGATTGCCTCTTGCTTCATTTACTGCAAGAGCCTGTTCATTCTCCTGCATCCTACTACTATAATAAATTAGTCTTCTGAGAGCATCCATCACACTGCATTATTCCTTGCCACAGTCTTTCAGCAACTTCCCATTTTCTGCAGGATAAAATGTTGATTCCTTGGCCTGGCTGACACTCATGATTCCTCATGTGCTCACGAAGCTGCCCACCCTGCCTTCACTCCCATGCTCCTGCCGGCCCGGTGCCACCACTGACCTCAGGACAGGTCCTGCTCATTTGTGCTGTAAGCTCATGGCTTGCCTCCTCTTACCCCTGAATGCCTCTCTTCCTCCCTGTCACCCACCACATTTCTCCTGCCTTCTCTCAGGATTCAGCTCCAGTTCCACTGTAGATCTTTCTCAGCCTTCAGCCTCCATCCAACTCCTCCTTTCCTGAATTTTGAGGATACCTAGGGTCAGCATCCAGCCATGCCCTGGTCTGTAACTGTTGCTCGTGTGTCTGTGTCCTCCCAGTGGGGAGAGGGGCCTTTCTCAGTCCCCAGCACCATGGGGCAAACACAGTTGGTACTCACTACAAACAGGACTCCCAGCCCAGAAGGCACAGGATCATACATGTTTAGCAGATGCTTCCTCAGTATAACCCCTTTCCTTTCTGCTCTAGGTGAAGGCTTTAGAAAGCAGGGCAGTTCTGAAAAGACTCTGGGGGTTGGGATGCAAAAGAGGTTGGCCTATGAGGCTTGCCTAAAGGATTTGTTTAAAAAACCCATCTTGAGTTATGCCTAAAGGATTTTATGTTGGCTAGGCGCTCATGTCTGTAATCCCAGCACTTTGGGAGGCTGAGGTCTGTGGATCACCTGAGGTTAGCAGTTTGAGACCAGTCTGGCCAATATGGCGAAACCCCATCTCTACTAAAAATACAAAAATTAGTTGGGCATGGTGGTGGGTTCCTGTAGTCCCAGCTACTCGGGAAGCGGAGGCAGGAGAATTGCTTGAGCCTAGGAGGCAGAGGTTGCAGTGAGCTGAGATCATGCCATTGCACTCTGGCTTGGGTAGCAGAGTGAGACTCCATCTCAAAAAAAAAAAAAAGATTTTACACCCCTGCCCCTCAGGCACCCTCTTCCTCAGTCTCCAGGGTCACCTGTGACAGTTTCTTGGGCCCTTGGGCCCTGGGATGCACAGTGCGAGTCCCCTCTTCCGCGCTGATCCTCTGCTTCTCGCCTCTCTGGGGTTAATGTACCATGGGTTTTGCCTTTCGTATCATTCTCCATCTCCTTCTGTCAGCTAATGATTATTCAGGGAGGGTCACCTCACCCTGCTGTCCCTATCCCAAATCTGTCAAAGTTCTGTTTAGGGCAAAGGTCATGAGAATTATGTCATGGCCATGTGACTGCTGTTTTCACCCCCTCCTTCTGCCGTCTTGGTCCTACCATTCTGAGGAGCTACCTGTGTGCCCTGCCTCTGGCTCTCCTGAGCAGAAAGGTAAGCTGCTTGTCTCTGCCTCAGGTGGAAATGGCCACTGGAGTCCACCTGCTCAGCGTTGACTGCCTTTTCTCTCTCACCTGTTCCCCCTGGCTTTCTCCCTGGGCACTCTCACTTGCCCTTGTCTGTGCACTGGACGCTGAGACTGAGCTGCAGGACTCGACCTCAGGCCCATTTGGGGAGGAGGCTCCTGCTGGGTAAGTCTGGGTAGGGTACCAGGCTGAGTACAGAATGACTCTGCTCTGCCACAGATCCTGATGGCTGACTCAGAAGCACTCTCCTCCCTTGCTGGGGATCCCATGGCTGTGGAAGCCTTGCTCCAGGCCGTGTTTGGGATTGTGGTGGATGAGGCCATTCAGAAAGGAACCAGTGCCTCCGAGAAGGTAAGTCCTTTCCTCCTCCTCCTTCCCATGAAGACTTCTTGTTCTCTTTCCAAATCTGGCACAGAACTTTCCTCCTTTGAATTCATCCCTGTCCCGCTGGGTACCTCGGGGATTTACATACTGGGTCTTACCGTGTTCTCTACCCTTGTTCATTTTCATGGTTTGGCTTTGAAAACATCCTGAAGTTGTTAGTGGCACAGGTTGGCCATGTCTCATGTCTGTGGAGGCATGGTTTGACAGCCAGTCCACAGGCATCCCAGGCCCCCAGCATCCCCAGCTCTCCTCCTAGGTCTGTGAGTGGAAGGAGCCTGAGGAGCTGAAGCAGCTGCTGGATTTGGAGCTGCGGAGCCAGGGGGAGTCGCAGGAACAGATCCTGGAGCGTTGCCGGGCTGTGATTCACTACAGTGTCAAGACCGGTGGGTCCCGGCTCCTGTGAGGAGACTGGGGAGTTTGCCCTGAGCTCCACTCTGAGCTCCCTGCCCTGCTCCTCTTCTCCAGGTCACCCTCGGTTCTTCAACCAGCTCTTCTCAGGGTTGGATCCCCATGCTCTGGCTGGGCGCATTATCACCGAGAGCCTCAACACCAGCCAGTGAGCATCCCAAGGCCCCTCCACCAGCCCACAAAAGATTTAGGTTTGCTGGAGAGGTGCCTGAGGGTAGGGGAAGAGAATGGTTCTACTCCCTCTCTGTTTCTGGGAATCCCTGTCAGCAGAGAGTTTTTCCTCCTATCCTTTGGACCCCCTTTCTCCAAACTTCCTCAGGCCTCCTGATCCTTGTTTTTTCTTTCTTGCTTCCCTCGTTCTGTCACCAACTTGTTGTCTTTGGACTCTTCCTTCGCTCCTTCTCATCACCTCCTTTCTGTGACTCCTGTGCAGTTGAAGGGCCCGTCTGGGCAGCCCCTCCTCATCTGTCCTTTCTCGTCATTCTCTCTCCTGGCAGGTACACGTATGAAATCGCCCCCGTATTTGTGCTCATGGAAGAGGAGGTGCTAAGGAAACTTCGGGCCCTGGTGGGCTGGAGCTCTGGGGATGGAATCTTCTGCCCTGGTTTGTGAGAAGGAGGGGGACCTTCCTTTGGCCTTTTTATGGGTTTCTCCTCCCCAACCATTCTCTTGCTCTGGCAGAGAGGGATGATTCTTCTTTGATTCCTCTCCAGCTGGGCCCAGACCAGGCCAGGGAGGAGGCTGCCTGGTCCCTTCATGCTCGTGTTTGTCACCCTTTCACTGGTCTAGTGCCTGCTGTCTCTGGACAGAGGCTGTCTCTTGGGGGCAACACTGGGTGTAGAGGGGTGTGGTCAAGAGGATCCTGGGAACTGTGGGCTGGGAGCCAGTCATACCTGCTTCTTTGATGAGCACTCCTGGTGGAAAGGGAAGGGGAGGCAAGCTCCAGTCTTGGTCCACTGCCCCTTTCCCTTGCCACCACCCCTCCCTGTGACAGGTGGCTCCATCTCCAACATGTATGCTGTAAATCTGGCCCGTTATCAGCGCTACCCGGATTGCAAGCAGAGGGGCCTCCGCACACTGCCACCCCTGGCCCTATTCACATCGAAGGAGGTGGGGAAGAGGCACAGGCCCAACCTTGGGCTCCTGATTCTAATCTCCAGCCAGCTAAGTAGAGACCTTCAGGTCTTCTCCCTACCCTCCCCACATCCTCCAAGGCCAGCCTGCTCCCGGGCAGATGTGCTTCCTTCCAATCAAGGAGGCCAAGTGACTGCTCCTGCTCACATTGCCTTCAGTTTGGGGGCAGAGGAGGGGCCGTGAGTGCAGTGGATGCAGTCCATACTCTGTCTACTCAAGAGTGTGGTCTGTGGATCAGCAGCATTTTGGTACCACCTGGGACTTGTTAGAAATTCAGGATCCGGCCAGGTGCAATGACTTAGGCCTATAATCCCAGCACTTTGAGAGGCCAAGGTGGGTGGAGATTGCCTGAGCTCAGGAGTTTGAGATCACCCGGGAAGCATGGGGAAACCCTGTCACTAAAATTGAAAAAAATTAGCTGGGTTTGGTGGTGGGTGCCTGTAGTCCTAGCCGCTTAGGAGGCTGAGGCACAGGAAATGCTTGAGCCTGGGAGGTGGAGGTTGCAGTGAGTCGAGATTGTGCCATTGCACTCCAGCCTGGGAGACAGAGGAAGACTCTGTCTCCAAAAAAAAAAAAAAAAAAAAAAAAAAGCAGAATTTCAGACCCCACCCCAGACCCCAGACCTAGTGAACTTGAATCTGCATTTTAACCAGACACCCAGACGATTCGTATGCACACGAACATTTGAGAAGCCCTGGTCTACAGGATCCCATCTGTTGGAGCTCATACTTGACTTTTACCTTTTCTCCCCACCCCCATCAAGTTGTGCTAACCTGCCCTCTTTTTTTCCCCCACAGTGTCACTACTCCATCCAGAAGGGAGCTGCATTTCTGGGACTTGGCACTGACAGTGTCCGAGTGGTCAAGGCTGATGAGAGGTGAAGGTCCTTCGGCCCACATGACATGACCGTGACCCACCTTGGCACAGTGTACTTTCCTGCTGCCAGAATGCTCTGGCAGCAAGCCCTTATCGCTGGCGAACCTGTCTTCCCTTACTATTTGGTAGAATTGCTGTTCTGTCTCCCAGAGCCTGCCAGCATCTCCCACCTCTGCCCTGAGATCTCTTTCACCCACTGAGGGAAAAACCAGGACCGTCATCTCTGCATCGCTAACCTCATCTTACTCTGCCTTCAACAGAGAACCTGTCCCTGCCCCTACCCTCTCCTTTTTTTTTTTTTTTTCAGAGGAAGAATGGTCCCCGAGGATCTGGAGAGGCAGATCAGTATGGCCGAGGCTGAGGTGAGAGTGAGGGTCACTGGGGTGGTGGAGCCTCCAGCCTTCTTGTAGGGTTATTTGTGCTCTCCCTGCTCAAGGCACCCTTCATCCCTCTCCTCATCTCTATACCCATCTCCCCTGTAGGCCGAAGTGACCGTGGGGGAGCTTGGGAATGAGGTCACTATGTTGTTTTCTGGGGCTCTGCCCAGACACCTAGGACTAGTTGGAATCTGAGAGGCAGGACTGAGTCAAGGAGCAAGTCCCAGGCAGCACCACAGGGAGGGTGCTGGGGGCCTGCAGTGGGGTGTGGAAGGGTCCTGTGGGGTGCAAGGGTCTGCGCAGGGAGAGGCTGAGGAGGGGAAGGGAACTGGTGAAGGCTGTGGGTAATGGGGATGAGGGGACACCAGCAGTCTCTTCCACTTTGAGGGGTATGTAACTGCCATAGCCACCTTGGAGGGCATTTTGGCACCATCTGTACAATTTTATTTATTTTTATTTTTAAATATTTTTAAAAAAATTATTTAAATATTTTGAATATTTTTTATTAAAAAAAAAGTTTTTGAGACCAAGTCTCACTGTCATCCAGGCTGGAGTGCAGTGATGCGATCTCGGCTCACTGCAACCTACCCCTCCCGGGCTCAAGCTAACCTCCCACCTCAGCCTCCCAAGTAGCTGGGATTACAGGCACCCACCACCACACCCAGCTAACTTTTGTATTTTTTGGTAAAGATGGGGTTTCACCATGTTGCTTAGGCTCGTCTCAAACTCCTGGGCTCAACTGATCACTCGCCTTGTCCTCTCACGGTACAGAGATTACAGGCATGAGCCGCCATGCCCGGCTGACACTTTTAGATGTATCTTTCCAATTCAGAGTTCCACTGCTAAGAATTTATGTTATAAATCATCATCACAAGTGTGTGGAATTCTGTACATGAGAATATTTCCTGGAACAAAGGGTAAATGTTTATGTTTAAATATAAATGTAAACTTTTTTTTTTTTTTTTTTTGAGACAGAGTTTTACTCTTGTTACCCAGGCTCGAGTGCAATGGCGCGATCTCGGCTCACCACAACCTCCGCCTCCTGGGTTCAGGCAATTCTCCTGCCTCAGCCTCCTGAGTAGCTGGGATTACAGGCACGCACCACCATGCCCAGCTAATTTTTTGTATTCTTAGTAGAGACAGGGTTTCACCATGTTGACCAGGACGGTCTCGATCTCTTGACCTCGTGATCCACCCGCCTCGGCCTCCCAAAGTGCTGGGATTACAGGCGTGAGCGCGCCCAGCAAATGTAAACTTTTTTTTCTTTTTTGAGACAGAGTCTTGCTCTGTTGCCCAGGCTGGAGTGCAGTGGTACAGTCTCGGCTCACTGCAATTTCTGCCTCCTGGGGTCCAGCGATTCTCGTGCCTCAGCCTTCTGAGTACCTGAGATTACAGGTGTGCATCACAATGCCTGGCTAATTTTTGTATTTTTAGTAGAGACGGGGTGTCACCACGTTGGCTAGGCTGGTCTTGAACTCCTGACCGCAAACAGTCCACCCGCCTTGCCTCCGAAAGTGTTGGGATTACATGTGTGAGCCACCGTGCCTGGCCATAAATGTTTTTAAAAAAACATTTAAATGACCATTAGTAGACAAAATAAATTATGGTATATCTGTGTGTCTCAGTTCCTTCCTCTGTAAAATGGATAGAATATAGAACTTGCCACATACGGTTATTGTAAGGATTGAATGAATTAATATATGTAAAGACTTAGAAGAGTGCCTGGCATTTAGCTGCACTGTATAAATACAAGCTGCTGGTATTGTTGTTGTTGTTATTATTTATTTATGTTATTTTTGAGATGGAGTCTCACTTGTTGCCAGGCCAGAGTGCAGTGGTGTGATCTTGGCTCACTGAAATCTCTGCCTCCTAGGTTCAAGTGATTCTTCTGACTCAGCCTGACATGAGTAGCTGGGACTACAGGCATGCACCATCACACCCAGCTAATTTTTGTATTTTTAGTAGAGACGGGGTTTCACCATGTTGGCCAGGATAGTCTCAAACTCCTGACCTCATGATCTGCCATTGTCAGCCTCCCAAAGTGTTGAGATTACAGGTGTGAGCCACTGCGCTTGGCCATTTGTTGTTATTATTATTTATTACTATTATTGGAGTACTGGGTAACCATTTAAAAGAATAAGGTAAGAATATATATACTAACATGAAAGTATCTCCACTATATATATTAAATATGTATTGCAAATTGTAGTATCGAATGGACATTATGAGCACATTTTTGTTATTTAGAACAGTATAGGCTGGGCATGGTGGCTCATACCTGTAATCCCAGCACTTTGGGAAGCTGAGGAGGACAGATCATGAGGTCAGGAGTTCGAGACCAGCCTGGCCAATATGGTGAAACCCTGTCTCTACGATAAATAGAAAAGTTAACTGGTCTGGTGGCACATGCCTGTAGTCCCAGCTACTCAGGAGGCTGAGGCAGGAGAATTGCTTGAACCGGGAAGGTGGAGGTTGCAGTGAGCTGACATTGTGCCACTGCACTCTAGCCTGCATGATAAAGTAAGACTCCATTTCAAACAAAATAAAAAGAGAAAACAGCATATATTTATTGATAGATGGATGTTACCTCTGAGTGGCACTAAGGACAGCATTTAGAATAGTGTTGTTTCTCTTTTTATTTTATTTTATTAATTTTTTGAGTTGGAGTTTCGCTCTTGTTACCCAGGATAAAGTGCGATGGTGTCATCTCGGCTCACTGCAACCTCCGCCTCCCAGGTTCAAGTGATGCTCCTGCCTCAGCCTCCTGAGTAGCTTGGGATTACAGGCACGCGCCACCACACCCAGCTAATTTTGTATTTTTAATAGAGACGGGGTTTCTCCATGTTGGTCAGGCTGGTCTTGAACTCCCAACCTCAGGCGATTTACCAGCCTCAGCCTCCCAAAGTGCTGGGATTACAGGTGTGAGCCACTGTGCCCAGCCTTTTTCTCTTTTTAATTATAGAAACTTTCTTTCTTTTTTTTTTTTTTTGAGGCGGAGTTTCGCTCTTGTTACCCAGGCTGGAGTGCAATGGCGCGACCTCAGCTCACCGCAGCCTCCGCCTCCTGGGTTCAGGAGTAGAGGTAGGGTTTTGCCACGTTGACCGGGCTGGTCTTGAACTCCTGGCCTCAAGTGATTTGTCCACCTTGGTCTCTCAAAGTGCTGGGATTACAGGCATGAGCCACTGCACCCAGCAGAACTCTTTTCAATTTGTAAAACGGAAACTCTGCATCCATCGAACAGCAACTCATTACCCTCGCCTCCAGCTTCTGGCAGCCACCATTCTACTCTCTGTCTGCATGACTTTGACTGTTCTAAGTACTTACATAAGTGGAATCATATGGTATTTGTCTTTTTCTATTGGCTTATTTCACTTAGTGGAATGTTCTCAAAGTTCATCCGTGTTGTAGCATGTGAGAATTTTCTTCCTTTTTTTTTTTTTTTTTTTTTGAGACGGAGTTTCGCCCTTGTTACCCAGGCTGGAGTGCAATGGCGCGATCTCGGCTCACCGCAACCTCCGCCTCCTGGGCTCAGGCGATTCTCCTGCCTCAGCCTCCTGAGTAGCTGGGATTACAGGCACGCGCCACCATGCCCAGCTAATTTTTGCACTTTTAGTAGAGACGGGGTTTCACCATGTTGACCAGGATGGTCTCGATCTCTCGACCTCGTGATCCACCCGCCTCGGCCTCCCAAAGTGCTGGGATTACAGGCTTGAGCCACCGCGCCTGGCAATTTTCTTCCTTTTTAAGGCTGAATAATATTTCATTGTACATACATGTTACATTTTACTTATCCATTCATCTGTTTGGGTTGCTGTTTGGAATCTCTTCGAGACCCTGCTTTCACTATTTTGGGCATATACCCAGAAGTGGAATTGCTGAAGCCTAGGGTAATTCTATTGAATTTTTTTTTGAGGAACTGCCATACTGTTGTCTATAGTGTCTGTACCAGTTTACAGTCTCGTAGTGCACAAGGGTTCTAATTTCTTCATGTTCTTGTCAATGCTTTTTTTTTTTTTTTTTGAGACAGGGTCTTGCTCTGTCATCCAGGCTGGAGTGCAGTGGCATGATCATCGTTCACTGCAGCCTTGACCTCCTGGGCTTAAGTGATCCTCCCACCTCAGCCTCCCAAGTAGCTGAGATCACAGGTGCACACTGCCACACTTGGCCAATTTTAAACATTATTTTTGGTAGAGACCCATCTCTACCAAAATCTCATTTCACTGTGTGGCCCAGGCTGGTCGCAAACTCCTAGGCTTCAAACTATCCTCCCACCTCAGCCTCTTAGAGTACTGGGATTACAGGCATGAGCCACCACATCAGGCCATTTTCTGTTATTTTGATAGTTGTTATCCTAATGGTTGTGAGGTGGTAACTCATTGTAGTTTTGATTCGCACTTCCCTAATGATTAGTGATTGCTGAACATCTTGTCATGTGCTTATTAGTAATTTGTATCTTTATTGAAAAATGTTTAGTCCGATCCTTTGCCCATTTAAAAAATTATGTTGTCTTTTTATTACTGAGTTATAGTTCTTCTTCATATATTCTAGAGGTAAGTCCCTTGTCAGATATATGATTTTCAGATATGTTCTTCCCATTCTATAGGTTGGCATTTCACTTTTTTGAAACTTTTATTTTAGATTCAGTAAGTACATGTGCATGTTTGTTATAAGGGCATATTTTGTGATTATGAGGTTTGGGGCACCCAGGTAGTGAGCATAGTACTCAATACGTATGTTTTCAACCTTTGCTTCCCTCCCTTCTGCTTCTCATAATCCCCAGTGTCTGTTGTTCCCATCTTTCCATCCATATGGACTTAGTATTTAGCTCCCACTTATGAGAACATGTGGTATTTGGGTTTCTGTTTCTGTGTTAACTCACTTAGGATACTGGCCTCAGCTGCATCCGTGTTGCTACAAAGGACATTTCATTATAGCTGCATAATATTTCATGGTTTATATATGCTGCATTTGAAAAAACTTAATCTACTGTTGGTGGGCACTTAGGTTGATTCCATGTCTTTGCTATTGGACTTTTCACTTTTTTGATAGTGCCCTTTGAAGTACAAAAGTCTTAAATTGGCTGGGCACAGTGGCTCACACCTGTAATCCCAGCACTTTGGGAGGCTAAAGAGGGCGGATCACCTCAGGTTGGGAGTTTGAGACCAACCTGACCAACAAGGAGAAACCCCATCTCTACTAAAAATACAGAATTAGCCAGGTATGGTGGCGCATGCCTGTGATCCAAGCTACTCAGGAGGCTGAGGCAGGAGAATCGCTTGAACCTGGGAGGCGGAGGTTTCGGTGAGCCGAGATGGTGCCATTCCACTCCAGCCTGGGCAAAAAGAGTGAAACTCCATCTCAAAAAAAAAAAAAAGTTTTAAATTTTTAAGTCCAGTTTATCTAGTTTTTCTTTGGCTGTTTCTGCTTTTGGTGTGATATCTAAACTAAACCTCTGTTTAAAAGATTCACTCCACTGTTCTAAGAGTTTTATAGTTTTAGCTCTGACATTTAGGCCTAGGATCCAGTATGAGTTAATGTGAGGGTGTGATGTGGATATCCAGTTGTCCCAGCACCATTTGTTGAAAAGACAATTTTTTCTCCAATAAATTGTCTTGGCATTCTTGTAAATCAGTTGACTGTAAACTGGAATCAGTTGACTGTTATCTCTGGGTTGTCAGTTCTGTCCCATTGATCTGCATGTCTCTCCTGTAGACCACATCATCTTGATTCAGCTGTAGCTTTGTAGTATGTTTTGAAATCAGGAAGTGTGAGTCCTTCAACTGTGTTCTTTTTTCAAGTTTGTTTTTGGCCTGTCTGGGTTCCTTGAATTTCCATATGAATTTAAGATCAGCTTGTCGGTTTCCACAAAGAGGGCAACTGGGATTTTGATAGGAATTGTGCTTATTCACCAACATGAAGCATCTTTTCATTTATTTAGGGTTTAATTTCTTTCCACAGTGTTTTATAGTTTTCAGAGTATATTCTTTTGTTAAATTGATTCTTTTTTTTTTTTTTTTTGAGACGGAGTTTCGCTCTTGTTACCCAGGCTGGAGTGCAATGGCGCGATCTCGGCTCACCGCAACCTCCGCCTCCTGGGTTCAGGCAATTCTCCTGCCTCAGCCTCCTGAGTAGCTGGGATTACAGGCACGCACCACCATGCCCAGCTATTTTTTTTGTATTTTTAGTAGAGATGGGGTTTCACCATGTTGACCAAGATGGTCTCGATCTCTTGACCTTGTGATCCACCCGCCTCGGCCTCCCAAAGTGCTGGGATTACAGGCTTGAGCCACCGCGCCCGGCCAAATTGATTCTTAAGTATTTTATTCCTTTTGGTGTTTTTGTAAATGAAATTGTTTTCTTAATTTCATTTTTAGATTGTTGCTAATATGTATAGAGATAAAATTTATTTTTGTATATTCTGTCTTTTGGAAGAGTTCGTGATCTGTTATCAGTTTTTTCATTAAATGTTTGATGGAATTCATCAGTGAAGCCATCTGGGCCTGGGCTTTTCTTTTCTTTTCTTTTTTTAGAGATGGGGTTTCACCATATTGGCCAGGCTGGTCTCAAGACTCCTGACTTCATTTGATCCACCCACCTTGGCCTCCCAAAGTGCTGAGATTACAGGCATGAGCCACTGCACCTGGCCCTCTTTTCCTTTTAACTTAAAAAAAAATTGAGACAGGGTCTTGCTCTGTTGCTGAGGCTGGAGTGCAATGGCACAATCAGGGCTCACTGCAGCCTTAACCACCTGGGCTCAAGTGATCCTCCTTTCTCAGACTCCCACTGTGGTAGGTTTTTTTTTTTTTTCTTTTTTTTTTTTGAGACGGAGTTTCGCTCTTGTTACCCAGGCTGGAGTGCAATGGCTCAATCTCGGCTCACCGCAACCTCCGCCTCCTGGGTTCAGGCAATTCTCCTGCCTCAGCCTCCTGAGTAGCTGGGATTACAGGCACGTGCCACCATGCCCAGCTGATTTTTTTTTGTATTTTTAGTAGAGACGGGGTTTCACCATGTTGACCAGGATGGTCTCGATCTCCAGACGTCGTGATCCACCCGCCTCGGCCTCCCAAAGTGCTGGGATTACAGGCTTGAGCCACTGCGCCGGCTTTTTTTTTTTCTTTCTGGAGACAGGGCATCACTCCATTGCCCAGGCTGGAGAGCAATAGTGCAATCACAGTTCACTGCGGCCTTGATCTCCCAGGCTCAAGTGATCCTCCTACCTCAGCCTCCCAGGTAGCTGGGACTATAGGGGTGCATCACTATATACCTGTGTATTTTTTATTTATTTTTTTTGTAGAGATGAGGTTTCGCTAGGTTGCCCAGGCTGGTCTCGAACTCTTGGGCTCAAGCAATTCTCCTGCCTTGGCCTCCCAAAGTGCTGGGATTATAGGCATGAACTACCACATCCAGCTTGTGGTAGTTTTTAAAATTACTAATTCAATTTCTCCATAAACTTTTGTACTATTCAAGTGTATTTATTTTTGAGACAGAATCTCACTCTTTTCAGCTGGAATACGATGGCGCCGATCTTGGCTCAGTGCAACCTCTGCGTCTTGGGTTCAGGCAATTCTGCCTTAACCTCAGCCTCCCAAGTAGCTGGGATTACAGACATGTGCCACCACACCCAGCTAATTTTTGTATTTTTTAGTAGAGATGGGGTTTGCCATGTTGGCCAGGCTTGTCTCGAACTCCTGGCCTCAAGTGATCCGCCTGCCTTGGCCTCCCAAAGTGCTGGGATTAGAGGCATGAGACACCGCTCCTGGCCTGTTTATTTTTTGAGACAAGAGTTTCTCTGTTGCCCAGGCTGGAATGCAGTGGCACAGTCATAGTTCATTGTAACCTCAAACTCCTGGGCTCAAGCGATCCTCCCACCTCTGCCTCCTGAGTAGCTGGGACTACAGGCATGAGCCACCACACTTGGCTAATTAAAAAAAAAAAAAATTTTTTTTGTTTAGAGATGGGGTCTTGCTTTGTTGCCCAGGATGGTCTTGAACTCTTGGTCTAAGCCAATCCTACTGCCTTGGGCTCCCAAAGTGCTGAAATTATAGGTGTGTGCCATTATGCCTGGCTCAAAATTTTTTCAGTAGCATTTGGATCTTCCAGTAAAACATTAAAGTTTTTTGAGAATATGAGCTTTTAAAATAAAAACATAGGTTCAAAGACCTATGTTCAAAGTCCATCTCTGGAGCTTCTGCTTGGATCTTTGAACGTCGATGTCTCTGCCTGCACGTTAAAAAAGGACGGTAATACATTGTTGTGAGGTTGAAATGGGCTGTTTTGGGCATGCAAACAGCTTAGAGATGGGCCCAGCACCAGGCTCTGAGTAGCTTTTGAGATGACTTTACGTCTTTCTCCCTCTACATTTTGACAACAGGGTGCTGTGCCGTTCCTGGTCAGTGCCACCTGTGGCACCACTGTGCTAGGGGCCTTTGACCCCCTGGAGGCAATTGCTGATGTGTGCCAGCGTCATGGGCTATGGCTGCATGTGGATGTGAGTGGGACTTGGCTTGGCGGGTGCGATGGGGTGGGCTGAGCCAAGGCCAAGGCCCACACTGTTCCTCCTGCTCCACAGGCTGCCTGGGGTGGGAGCGTCCTGCTGTCACAGACACACAGGCATCTCCTGGATGGGATCCAGAGGTGCATATGGTCCCCTTCTTCCCAAATCCCACCCTTCAAACCATTGATCCAGAGAATCATCATGGACTAGGCAGTTTAACATGGCTGGGGAAGGAGACTGATGGGTGGGGGACTGGAGAGAGCATGGATTGGAGCTGGGAGGTCAGACATATCAATTCTTCCTGATGCTGGGTGAGGGCAAGACCAAAGCCCCATTACTAGGGGTCTGGAAAAGGAGGAGGGGCCACTAACCTGCCTTTGCTCTACCCCATCCAGGGCTGACTCTGTGGCCTGGAATCCCCACAAGCTCCTCGCAGCAGGCCTGCAATGCTCTGCACTTCTCCTCCAGGACACCTCGGTGGGTCTGCCTCTGCCCCTGCACCACCGGCCCCACCTCTCTCTCTGGAGTGCTGCCTTCTCTTTTTTTTTTTTTTTTTTGAGACGGAGTTTCACTCTTGTTACCCAGGCTGGAGTGCAATGGCGCAATCTCGGCTCACCGCAACCTCCGCCTCCTGGGCTCAGGCAATTCTCCTGCCTCAGCCTCCTGAGTAGCTGGGATTACAGGCACACGCCACCATGCCCAGCTAATTTTTTTTGTATTTTTATTAGAGACGGGGTTTCACCATGTTGACCAGGATGGTCTCGATCTCTTGACCTCGTGATCCACCCGCCTCAGCCTCCCAAAGTGCTGGGATTACAGGCTTGAGCCACCGGCCTTCTCTTTTTTTTTTCTTTTTCTTTTTTTTTTTTTTTTGAGACGGAGTTTCGCTCTTGTTACCCAGGCTGGAGTGCAATGGCACGATCTCGGCTCACCGCAACCTCCGCCTCCTGGGTTCAGGCAATTCTCCTGCCTCGGCCTCCTGAGTAGCTGGGATTACAGGCACGCGCCACCATGCCCAGCTAATTTTTGTATTTTTAGTAGAGACGGGGTTTCACCATGTTGACCAGGATGGTCTCGATCTCTCGACCTCGTGATCCACCCGCCTCGGCCTCCCAAAGTGCTGGGATTACAGGCTTGAGCCACCGCGCCCGGCCTAGTGCTGCCTTCTCTATCCCACCTTAGATAAGGTCCAGGCCTTTCTTTATTCTCTTTACCTCATCCCTTCTGAAGCCACATCTCTGCTGCCACCCTTCCCTGTCATAGGCTCCTTTACTCCCCGAGGGTCCTGTCTTCATGCCAAGGGAAAAGTTTCCAGCTTGAAGTTGAAGTCAGAGGTATCCTGGAGTTTCTAGCTTGAAGTTGCTATCAGAGTTTGGGAAGAACACGGAGCATTGGGAGGACACCCAAAGAAAGGAGTTGGAGCCAGCAGGCAGTGGTCCCAGCAGTGCTGCCTGGTTCCAGGGAAAGAACAGGGTGTCTTGAGCTGAGACCCCCTCAGTGCAGCCCTGGAAAAAAGCCTCAGTGGAGAGGGTAGGGTCTGACAGTCTCCTCACCCCGACACAGAACCTGCTCAAGCGCTGCCATGGGTCCCAGGCCAGCTACCTTTTCCAGCAGGACAAGTTCTACGATGTGGAACTGGACACCGGAGACAAGGTGGTGCAGTGTGGCCGCCGCGTGGACTGTCTGAAGCTGTGGCTCATGTGGAAGGCACAGGGCAGTCAAGGGCTGGAGCGGCGCATTGACCAGGCCTTCGCCCTTGCCCGGTAGGCTGGTAGAGGGTGTGTGTGGGGGTTGTCGCTGTTTCCCTCTCCTGGGTCCACGCCCCTCCCCCTTTCCCGCTCACAGGATTACTTTTCTCTGTCTCTCTGTGGCTCATTCCCCGTGGTCCTCTTCTGTCTCTGGATCTGTTTTTCCTCACGACCTGTGGGTTCTCACTGTCTGTTCACAGGTACCTGGTGGAGGAAATGAAGAAGCGGGAAGGGTTTGAGCTAGTCATGGAGGTAGGACCCCCTTCTCTTTTGCGGCCCCCTGCCCCAGCCCAGCTCTTTTGCAGCCCCCTACCCCCAACCAAAGCACTGGTAGAGGAAAAAGGGCAGGGAGAGGGAAGACGGTCACCCTTCCTCAGCTCACAGCTTCCTCTTTCCCACTCCTCTCAGCCTGAGTTTGTCAATGTGTGTTTCTGGTTCGTGCCCCCCAGCCTGCGAGGGAAGCAGGATAGTCCAGACTACCACAAAAGGCTGTCGACGGTAGGGGTGCTCTGCTCTGCTTTCTGGTTAGGGAGCGTATGCAGTTTATGCGCTTCTGCCCTCTGCCGGCTGGGAGCGGCATGGCAGGTGCCCTTGATGGTTTCTTGCTCTGAAGCGTGGAAGCCCTCTTTTTCGGTAGGGGTGGGGGTGGGGCTCGGGACGAAGGTATGTTTTTGGGAAATAAGAAGAACGAGGGAGTATTACAGGAGAAGTCAGAGAAGTCACCAGTGTGTCGTACACAGAGCCCTGTGCTGGGAATTGGGCTGAGACCTCTGGCTCAGGACAGATACGAGGCAGAAAGATCATGGAAGAGCCTTATCACCCATGCTGGGGACAGAGCAACCTGGGAAGGCCAGTCCAGAAATGCCACCTACAGGCGAGGAGCTGTGTCATACCCTGCTCCCTAAAGATAGAGTGCTGCCAGGTGCTACAGATGATCTGAAAGGACAAGTGTTCTCACCCTTATAGAGTTCTTGTAAGACAAGAGTTACCTACTTGAAAACAGTGTGTTCAAGGCAATTCTGTAAATGACTTGCTAGATCACAGGGCACAGGTTAATATTATCAAAAATATTACAGGAATTGAGAGAGGGGAGAATAGGGTGTTGACTAAGATGACCAAGGCTTGAAGTTAGACTAAAGCAGTGTTAGGAATCAAGAGAAAGTCAAGATTTGCCAGAAAATGGCCCACAGGACAGATTTCTTGGAGAAAGGAGAAATGGGGAGGAAAGCACGAGATAGAGAAGGCCTAGCAGTTTAGGTATGACAGAAAAGATAAACTGGGGCCAAGGTCAAGGTCAGAGCAATGACTGCTACCTCCAGAAGGTGGCTGGGTGGGAGGGAAAAGTGCCTCTGGGAGCCTGGCAGGCCAAGAAGCCAGCCTACCTGTCAGCCAACCCCAGGCTGCAGCTGGAATCTCTCACCACCCTCCCTTAGGTGGCCCCTGTGCTCAAGGAGCGCATGGTGAAGGAGGGCTCCATGATGATTGGCTACCAGCCCCACGGCACCCGGGGCAACTTCTTCCGTGTGGTTGTGGCCAACCCTGCGCTGACCCGTGCTGATATAGACTTCCTCCTCAACGAGCTGGAGCGGCTAGGCCAGGACCTGTGAGCCTTCTCCTCCTCACTGCTGGCCTTGACATCACCCCTCAGAGTCACTGCATTCCCTCCCAGTACTCTCAAGAACAGCCTTTGAGGCCAGGCGTAGTGGCTCACGCCTGTAATCCCAGCACTTTGGGAGGCCGAGGCAGGTGAATCATTTGAGGTCAGGAGTTGGAGACCAGTCTGGCCAACGTAGTGAAACCCCATCTCTACTAAAAATACAAAAATTACCTGGGTGTGGTGGCGTGCGCCTGTAATCCCAGCTACTCAGGTGGCTGAGACAGGAGAATTGCTTGTGCTCAGGAGGCAGAGGTTGCAGTGAGCTGAGATCACAGCCCTGTATGCCATCCTGGGCAACAGAGTGAAATTCCATCTCAAAATAAAATAAAATAAAATAATAAAATAAAATAAAACATAAAATATAGTAAAATAAAATAAAAAAAGTAAAATAATTAAAAACAACCTTTCTAGGCCACAGTGACCTGCACAATGTTTATATGCTTTGACCTACTAACTCTTCCTCCTAACTAAATATTAGATATTAGGAGAATGTTTAAATAAATTACAGCATATCTATATGATGGAGTGTTATTGTGCCATTAAAATTATGTTTACAAAGATAATTTTTACTAACAAAAAAATAACTTTATGTTGAAAAAGCTGGATACAAGACTTTATATACAGTCACATCTGAGCTGTGTTAAAAAATGCATAGGAAAAGACTGATAAAATGACATGTGGCAAAATGTTAATAGTTTTCCCTGGAATAGGATAAATAGGCAATTTTAAAACAGACTGCTTTAGAAAAACAAAACAAAAAAATAGACTCCTTTACATCTTTTGATCTCCCTTCCTTTCACTGTGTAATGAACATGCATTACATTTGTAATAGGAAAATTATTAATAAAGTTAAAATTCCAAATGCATGCTTTTGGTATGTTTTTGAAATTTATTAACATTCAACCCACCGAGTGCAGTGGCTCACACCTGTAATCCCAGCACTTTGGGAGGCCAAGGCAGGCGGATCACCTGAGGTCAGGAGTTCAAGACCAGCCTGGCCAACATGGTGAAACCCTGTCTCTACTAGTAATACAAAAATTAGCCGGGCATGATGGTGGGTGTCTGTAATCCCAGCTACTTGGAGGCTGAGGTGGGAGAATTGCTTGAACCCAGGTGGCAGAGGTGGCTGTGAACTGAGATCACACCGTTGTACTCCAGCCTGGTTGACAGAGTGAGACTCCGTCTCAAAAAACAAAACATTCAACAAAATAATGGAGAACTTCGAAGAAAAAAAAAAGATGTGGCTGGGTGTGGTGGTTCATGCCTATAATCCTAGCACTTTGTGAAGCTGAGGTGGGAGAATCACTTGAGCCTGGGAGTTTAACACCAGCCTGGACAATACAGCAAGACCCCATCTCTAAAACAATTTTTTTTAAAAAAACATTAGCCAGGCTGGGCGCGGTGGCTCAAGCCTGTAATCCCAGCACTCTGGGAGGCCGAGGCGGGTGGATCACAAGGTCAAGAGATTGAGACCATCCTGGTCAACATGGTGAAACCCCGTCTCTACTAAAAATACAAAAAATTAGCTGGGCATGGTGGTGTGTGCCTGTAATCCCAGCTACTCAGGAGGCTGAGGCAGGAGAATTGCCTGAACCCAGGAGGCGGAGGTTGTGGTGAGCCGAGATCGTGCCATTGCACTCCAGCCTGGGTAACAAGAGTGAAACTCTGTCTCAAAAAAAAAAAAAAAAAAAAACATTAGCCAGACATAATGGTGCACACCTGTGGTCTCAGCTGTTTCAGTGACTGAGGTGGGAAGATTGCCTGGGCCCAGGAGGTTGAGGCTGCAGTGAGCCGTGATTGCATCACTGCATTCCAGCCTGAGTTATAGAGTGAAAATTTGTCTCAAAAAAGTAAAATTAAAAGGCAGTGTAAGCCGGGCGCGGTGGCTCAAGCCTGTAATCCCAGCACTTTGGGAGGCCGAGGCGGGTGGATCACGAGGTCAAGAGATCGAGACCATCCAGGTCAACATGGTGAAACCCCGTCTCTACTAAAATACGAAAAATTAGCTGGGCATGGTGGCGCGTGCCTGTAATCCCAGCTACTCAGGAGGCTGAGGCAGGAGAATTGCCTGAACCCAGGAGGCGGAGGTTGTGGTGAGCTGAGATCGCGCCATTGCACTCCAGCCTGGGTAGCAAGAGCGAAACTCCGTCTCAAAAAAAAAAAAAAAAAAAAAAAAAAAAAAAAAGCAGTGTAAGAGAGGAACAACTTTTTTTCCCAAAAATTGAGACAGGGTCTTGCTATCATCAATATAGTCACCCTATAATCAATTTCACTTTGGTGACACTGAAACAAAATGGGCACTGATTGTATCTCGAGACCAGAGCCTTAAGTAATTAACCAATCTTGAAAAATCTTAACATGCACACAAAGACTTTTCTTCTGCAATTTAAACAATAGAAAAGTGAACGATAATGACAACGAACTGTATGTCCCGTGGTTTTGTGACTGTCTTACATAAAAGCATCCATCTATAAAACATTTAAAATCCCAGCTGGTATTGCTTCTCAGTCCCTTTTTGGGAAAGAGACAGCTACACGAGTTATTAAGGACAAGTGGCAAGTCTACCAGAACTTTTTGTTATTTCCAATTCCAAAAAGTATCATTTATGGAAATAGTAACGTGGTCATGTAAAAGTCATCCAAAGTTATTTGAAGAGTTAAATACAGACTGTACAAACCATAGCAAAAGAACATCCAAATCTCTGACACAATGATTGTGACCATTTAGAGAAAAAAAAGCATTTCATAAATTACGAGTAATTCCCCTATAACATTGTTATTATGAATGGTATTTTAATTTCCTCTAATAATAGAATTTTTGAGACCATCAATGTATACTCTTAAAGGATTCTGTGTAGCTGCAAAATGTCTCAACTATAGTTTAAAAAAAAGACGTTAATGGTTGCCAGGGGCTGGAGGTAGGGTGATCCAGGGAATGATGCTAATGGGTATGGGGTTTCTTTTGGGGTTGGTGAAAGTGTTCTAAAATGGATTGTGATGATGGTTGCACAACTCTGAATACACTAAAAATTGCTGAATTTTAAACTTAAGTGCATGAGTTTTGTGGTGTATGAATTATATCTCAATGAAGCTATTTAAAAGAAAAAAAAAGTCTACTTTTCAACTCAAAGCCAGAAAGCAAAAACAAAAATAAAATCTTCAGATTCCTTAAATCATCTCCATTTGAGAAATATTTTAAAGAGAGGCCAGAAGAACAGAACATAAAATCAGTTAATCACCTGTTTTTTTTTTTTGTTTTTTTTTTTTTTCAGCTTCATAAAACAGATACTTCTTTTCCTCCTTTCCAAAAATTCAGCCTCAAAATCTCTGGATTCAATGCTGGCATACTCTATATTTTAGTTATTTATTTTTAAAGTTTCTCTCTCACCCAACTGGAATGTAAGCTCTGAGAGCAAAGAGCTTACATTTTGCTACCTGCCAAAATACTGTCCGGTATTACAAGGTGGGTACGATTGTTGAGTGAATAGTTAATGAGCTCCAGGCACTAGTTGGCTTGCTCTCAGTCACACAGCCATTTTTTTCTTGACGGAGCCTCGCTCTGTTGCCAGGCTGGTGTGCAATGGCGCGATCTCGGCTCACTGCAACCTCCGCCTCTCGCGTTCAAGTGATTCTCCTGCCTCAGCCTCCCAAGTAGCTGGGACTACAGGTGCGCACCACCACGTCCAGCTAATTTTTATATTTTTAGTGGAGACAGGGTTTCACCATGTTGGTCAGGATGTCTCAAGCTCCTGCCCTCGTGATCTGCCTGCCTTGGCCTCCCAAAGTGTTGGGATTACAGGCGTGAACCAGTGGGCCCGACCCCAATCACAGAACTTTAAAAATAAAATAAAATAAATAAAATAGAGACAGGGTCTCGCTATGTTGCCCAGGCGTGTCTCAAACTCCTGGGCTCAAAGCAATCCTCCAGCCTCAACCCTCCAAAGGGCCGGGATTCCAGGCATGAGCTGCCGCACCCAACCAGTCACACAACTTTTAAGTCACCACTCAGACCATCTTATCTGGCTCTTAACCGTGGATCTGACCAGCTTCTGTTGACAGGTATATCTAATTCATAGGTGTGTGTGTTAGAACGGTACACCCTAATAGCCTTTTTTTTTTTTTTTTAAAGTTTCTTTCTTCTTTTTTTTTTTGTTTCCTAATGACCTTAATAGCCTAACCTTAGTGGCATAAATTATTAACCCTATGCTGTGAATCTACTACTTGCAGAAAGGTCGAGGACATTCCCAGGGTTCGTCACCCATCTTGCCCTTGGCCTGGGGAAATAATATTTTCCTCAATAGGAAAATAAAGGCATTGGAATTGCCTGAGTGGGTTGCAATGTGGGTTTTTTGTTGTCGTTTGGTTTTGGTTTTGGAAAGAGCAAAAGAATCAAAGTATCCTAGACTCTAGGACCTAGGGACCAGCCTCCCCTTGGCTGGGGAAGGAAGATGGTGCCCTTCACAGGGAGGAAGGCCAGGCCTGGGAAGGTAAGAAGCTGGATGGCGTACCTATGATGTCATGGCAGCTCTCTGAGGTTGAGAGTAAGAACCCTTTAAAGAAAGTAGATAAAAAAGAACAAGTTACAGTCAGAATTTGACTGGACACTTGGAACTGTCTTTATATATCCTGGTCCTCGTTTGGCTGTTTTTCTTGTTTATATGCCTTTTAAAAACCTTTTTTATAGTATCCTTCAGTAGCTTAGCTGGTACCTCAGAGGACTATAGTCAAAAGCTTTTTATTTTGAAATGATTTCAAACTTATAGAAAAGTTGGATTCTTGTAATTATTCTTAGTTACAGAGACCTCTCTTTACCCAGATTTATCCATTTCTCACATTTTGACAAATTTGCTTTGTTATTCTCTCTCTAAATGGATTGGACTCATTTTTTGGAATCAGTTGAGAGTCTGTGCATATATTACGACCCTTTATCTCTTCATACTATAATGCATATTTCTCAACAACAAGAATATTCTCTTAAATAATCATGGTACAGGCTAGGCAATGTGGCTCACACCTGCAATCCCAGCGCTTTGAGAGGCTGAGGCGGGAGTATCCGTGGATGCCAGGAATTCAAAATCAGCCTGGAC